ATACATAAGCAGATGGATTGTAATGAACAAAAATGATATAATGGGCATCAAGAATGAGTACCGTCCTTGGCGACAAGGACTAACAACAACCAATGTGCTGTTTGCCAAAATTCAACAAATTATCACTGATGATGTTTGATTGACTTAAAGACACAAAGCAAAATTGATAGGCATCATTTTTGGGGTAGTTTACACTGTTTTAATGAAAGATTCGACAGTAAAAAAAAACTTAGTGGTCAATGGTCACCTTATGTTTTGAAAAATGAGTGAAAATGACAGCGTGTAAGAATAACTAAAAAATTATTTTAAAAATCAAAAATTGTAGTTATCCACGTTTGTCTGAAATTCAAACAGATAATGAAACTTGAATCCAATGCTTTAAATCCTCAAAATAAATTTACAATAAAATGCACTTGACAAATATAGCCAAGGTCTGAGAAGGGCGAAGAATTGCAAAGGAATAAAAACAGTTTTCCATGCAATTTACATTAGTGGTCTCGTTCAAATTCTTATTCGGCGAGGCGATTCAGTTTTTGGAGAAGTCTAGGAAGCAAATTTTTGCCCCCCCCCCAAAAAAAAAATCGTAAGGTTTATGAAAGGATGAAACCAAAATCAGGAATCCGATACACCAAATTTCTTTATGACAGCGTCCAAACCCAAACGCCATAACAAGTAATAGAGTATTGGGGATAAACAGATGTTTTGTCACATCAACAATTTTCGCCAGATCTTTCGCCCCTTGACTTGTTTCATTTTCCATGCCAAAAAAAAACTTTCAGAAAGAAGAAACAAGTCCATGAAATCATAGGGTCTGCCTTATTTCAGTATACGAAGGGCCATACTCAAAAATGTATTCTAAAATTAATCAGAAATTGGATAAAAATGTTATGGACATGTGTTTTAATAAAAAGAGAACATTCAAGTTGAAAAGCGTTTTTTGTTTCTTTCTGGGCATTGAAAACATTTTGTAATTTTTCACAGAGTATAAAAATAGTGCATGCTAAAAATACAATCATAGAGGAAACATCGTTGCATAACATAATAAGCACAATGCTTATATTTTTTTCACTCATATAAAGACGTCACCGTGTGCCAAATGTAAAAGAAAATGGACTTTTATAAAAAAAGAAAATATATTTAGCACAAATACAATCAGCACGAATTACAAAAGATTTCTTTATCACATGTTTTATCTTTGTCTAATTATATGGATTATCAATCTACACCGTGTTGTAAAGAAATGTAAGAATTATTGCTCGAGTACGCGAGTTTCGAGATTTGATGTTATTGTTCCAATTTCCTTTAATGTCTGTCTCTTTTCGTTATGAAAAGGTGAAAATAGCAAAAGACGTTCGATACAGAGAAATCTTGAAAAACCATAAAAAATTTATAAACACACGAACACACGGAAATTATGAATTCATATATTTTGGACACCATAGTTGGCCAGAACAAAAAAAAAATATTCCGATTGCGGTCAATGTTCAAACGAAAGATAAATGGAATACGTGTTTTTTTTGTTTCATATTTTTTATTTCATTATTTACACTTATTTAAGAGGAAAATATAGATCATATGATTGCTTTTCAGTTTTTACGTGTGATCTTTTCTTTAATTTCACATTTTTTAAAGTTAGAATTTAAAAAAATATTTCTTTATATTTTCTTCTACAAAACGTTTAGTTAACAAATAAATTTTATAGTGAAATATCTAGATTATTTCACGTACTTTGATCAAAAATTGGACACGAAACACGTAAGTAATGTTGACCTTGATTACCAGACAGACTTCCGGTGTATTGCTACGTGTATATAGATTTTTGACATCTTGAGTATTGGGGGTCTCCAGGTAAATAACACCACTGTTACCTAGACCACTCCCCTCCTCAGGTAACCGTGCGGTAAAAAATTGGGTCTTTAAGGGCTTTAAATTTAGTACCGTGTCGCGGTAGGCGTTGGCACGATAAAGAACCCTCAACTGCTCAATGATTCTGAGTGCCGAGTATAGTTCTAAATTTAAAGCCCTTCATCGGCATACGGTGAAAAATTCTCGAGTGGGACGTTAAACAACATACAATCAATTCTCCATATTTTTTTTCTGAATTTGTTGAAATACAAAACAGAAATTGGATACACCGGTATTAAACAGAGCAAGTTCATAACATCTTTGGTACATTAACGCAGTCATGCAATCATTCTAAACAATATTGTAATAAGTGTACACCTTACAAAATGATGGACAGTTGTTATATGTTGAATAGAATATTTATAATGTTTTGTATAACCACATATTTAATGGTTTTCTTTTTCTTTATGAAGAGTGGAAATAGATATCTCAAACGATAAACATTTACTAGCTGTTTTGATCAGTCATTCAAAACATAAACAATGATTTGTTTTAGTTCAACAAAATATTAAAATATTTTTTGTCGTTCTACATCAGATAAATGAGAACGATCGAGTGTTTTCATTTTCCTTCAAAACAACAGAGGTCATCTTGTAACTTCAGAATCACGAGAACAAAACTGTTTATGAAAAAGGAAGAAAGAAAGACAACACTGACAGGATTCTATATAATGAAAGAATTGTGAAGTATGTTTCCTCCAATAACCACAATGCGTATTTTGTTTATTATAAATATTTTCTTTCTTGACTTTTCTACTGATGTATAATTGAATTACGTCACCAAGAACGTAACAGATCATTATTCAACCACATTTTGACCACAGGACTTATCAACGATGGCTTGAACAGGCTTAAAGAAATTTCAAACAATTTGATACTCATAATGTGTAGATCTACATGAAACACTTCCATGTTTGCGATGGAATTCTAATTTTTGTATGTCCATTTGCTTGAAGTACATTTAAGCACATCTTTAATTTATGAGTATCAAAAGTGTGAAGCACGATTAAAACCGTTCAAACTATGATCGTGAAAAACCGCAGACAAAATTTGGTAAGACTATTATAATTATGTAACAGGATCTCCGGGTGAAATTACATCAGTAAACATTTTAAAGCATCGCTTTCTGTAAAGCGGAGGGATTTTGTTTAAAAATAAAATGAAAAATTGTTTATTTGTGATAAAATTCAAATTCACAAATTTTGAAACCTAAATCCTAAGCTTTTGAAAGATTGAAATCAAAAAATATCTACATAATTTGATTTCTGTAGTTGTTATTGACACATTGGTTTAAAAGGACATGTTACATTGCACATGATAAATCTATTAATTTAAATCGTTAAAGAAACCTTTTTTTTTTTTATTGAATTTGATTTATCATTTCGAAAATCAATTTGTTTCTTAAAGGTGAAAACAGAATTTGCAACCGATTGTGATTTTATTAATTTCTTAAATATTTTTTCTTATAATCCATTTAAAATCTATATTTGTTGAATATTTTGAGATGAAAATATATAGTGACAACAAGAAAATAAAATCTGTTTGATTGTGACCTTTTTATATTTCTATACCACCATTTCTCATGATACTTTTTCAAGATATTCTTAAATCAGGATTTGATATTTGTAGAAAAAAAAACAGCATGAAATACCAGAGATTTTTCAAAATACATCATTACAATGCAACAATATATTCATAAAGTGGTGTAAATCAATAATTGTGGATACTTCATAATTCCAAGGAGTTTTTGGACAATTTGCAATCACAAGGTTTTACTAAAATCAACAGCTTAAAAACTTACGACTTTTCAACGTTTGACACAACCATTCCAAACGTTAAATTAAAGTCAAGGATTTTTTATATCATTGACAGCTGCTTTTTCAATATAAATGCAACTTGTAAATTTTCTTACCTTGTCATTGGTCATTTGCAAAATTAATTTTGTTAAAAAAAACATTCTGATTATACACACATGTATTCTGAAGTTGACATCAAGAAGATGCTTGAGTTTCTGACTGATAATATCTATGTGGTTTTCGGAGACCAGGTCTTCCAACAATCAATTGGAATTCCCATGGCTACCAATTGCGGCCCGTTATTAGCGGACCTGATATTTTGTATTCCTATGAAGAAGAATTTCCCCAAAATCTAATATATGAAAAGAAGAAAACATTTGCTTGCTGTGGCCTTCAACTCGACATTTAAATATATCGACGACGTATTGTCAATTAACAATGGTAACTTGTAATATTTTTACACTGGATTGACGTCGGATTTTTTCGCTATTTCCCGATCATGACAAGGAGCACATGGCAGATGTGACCGGTCGACAGGTCAGCTGACTCGTCCATGGCACCTGATTCCACCGCTGATGTTTTGGAGGTCCGTGTTTGCTCTGCTCCTATTTTGTATTGTTTTATGGACTTTTGATCTTTTGATACTGTTTGTTATCTCCATATATTTCATTTAATATAGGATTGAATGAAATGGAATGGAAGTCGGAAATGTTCTATTTTGTGATTAGTCTCATTACTGTTAATCAGTCCATAAACGACACATGTGCAACCCACATGCATATATTTCTTGAACAATTGTTGTGCCATTTATTTTGCATACATTGAAATACACATATATAATATAATAATATATAATGTATGTTATATATTTAACATATTTAATTTTACTTTGAATGTTTTCTTATTCATATAGATGTAAATATAAACATTTAAATGTCTCCCTTTATTTTTTTGTACGGAAATCAATGTCGCACCTATTGCAGAAAAAAATTACTTAACCCGTGGTCGCGGATCGTTTATTTATTCTGCAACAGCTGCCACATTATTTCCAGTACTAACAACAATAGAAAGCATTTTAATGTTTAAATAAATGATCAAATACACACTGGAAAAAAAATTGAGGAATATTAAATTTACATATCGTTTTCTCGAATGATGTAATGAAATGTAATCGTAACACTTAATGTTTCAACTATATTGTTACCTTCAATAACTGTATGGAATGCCCATGAGGGTCGTAAGCTCATGAAGCAGTCACATAATGGCAAGAATAGATCTCCATAGCTTAAAGTGATCAAATTAAAGTCACGTGTTCTTGAACGAAGCGTGCTTAGTAAATTCGCTTCATGACATGATATATAGCGCCTTTTAAAGAATCATTAAAAATATTATTGCAATGGAGGATTACATGAATGATGACAATAATTCGAATGCGGGTAATTCAATTTCCCGCCAAAATCCCTATAAAGTAAGTTTTTTTTTACATTTTTTTTTTGTATCTGAGAATATGTTATTGTTATTGATATTGAATATTTCCCAGTATAAGCAGCTGACAATCAATTGATTTGATATACCGTGGTTTTTAAATTTAACAACTGTAATTTGAAACATGTACACCAAGTTTATTGCTGATTATTGCGCGCGTTATTTGTATTGCCAGAGGTTAATGAGTTCAATTCAAGTAGCAATATATTGAATTAACAAATCTTGAAATGAAATAAGATTTATTGAAATCAACAAAAATGAAATGATTCCGAAATATATGGTATTTCTGATGCACAACAAAGTGAAATGAACGAAAATAGTCATGATTCTGTGTTTACTTTAAATAATTTTGCGTTGTAATTTTCATTTTTTTTTCAGTAACATTTTGACATTGTTCTAGTAATTTGACACTTATAGATGCATCCAATTTTGTAGAGGATATCGCATCCTACCGGTAACCGCGGGTTTTCAAAAACATGTCTCACTTTTTCCTTCCGACAATAGATCACCCAGAATAAAAGCATTGTTTATTGTATATCACTAATATTTTCATTTTCCGCGAATTTAAAAAGCATTGATGAATTGTCTGGTGTGATATATCTGTTTCTCTCTCTCTCTCAAATTTTAAAACAAGAGGCCCAGGGGCCACATCGCTCACCTGATTTTTCAAAAAAATTGTTTTTGTGACATTTTTGTTAAGCATGGATTTGACTTGAAAAGAAATTTTAAAAGGTTTCCCTATATATTCCTATGTAAAACTTTGATCCATTATGGTAACAGTTTGTGTAGCATTGATATCAAATTGTCTTTCAGTTAATATTAGACATTCATGTATATCAAGGATATATCAAAAGCCTAAAATATTTTTAAAGTCACACACATACGCTCTCTCTGTCGAAGTTTAAAATAAAAAGCCAAATCAACATACTCTCTCTTTCTTTCTCTGATATATTATATATTTTTGTGTAATGTCACTACACCCTTTTATTTAGATGGAACAGATAACCTTCGAGGTGTTTCTATTGGTTATAATCCTGGTCGGCAATATCACTGTTCTCACGGTTATCATCGTTGAGGGTCAGAAGTCAAGGATGCATTTCTTCATCAAAAACTTGGCTGTGGCAGGTATATTTGATAATAGTGTGAAAAGATATAAAGCAGTTATGCAGTCTGAAAAGCATCCTACGAGTGTTTTTAACGCTTAATTGATTAGAGTGTTAAACTTATGTCTATTCAACTTAGGCAACACACATTGATAAACTTACCCTTATACTAATTATTAAAACACTCAATCGTCATGCAAAAAAAAAATTAGAAAGCAACTAAAGCATTCGAGCTGTACCTAAAAAATTTTAGTATAATAAGAAACTGTAGTTTTTTTCATCTGGATATTTTGCACTGTCATAAAAAGTTTTATTGGACAAAAATTTTATGTCCTCTTAAAATTAGGACAAAAACAGACAAACCAAAAAAAAAAAAATAATAACAAAACTGTTCTCCTGGTTTCAGATTTGCTCTGTGGAGTATTTTATGTGATTCCACGAATTGTTATACATGTTAATGATGGAGCATTTTATGGTGGGAACACACTGTGTAAATTACAAGAGTTTCTATCGGTAAGATCAAAGTTCACTGAATTTGAGCATTACGAACAGTAAAATCATAAATGGATACAAATTATTTGAAAATTTCCGAAATAGATCGTATGTAAACTTCCATCTAATTAATGAAAACTTCCTTATGATGAGATATATTTCAAACAGACGACCTTTGGGCTACAGTGCTCACCTGAGTCACTTTGACTCTGCAGTTCTTCATAAGTCCTCCACATCCCATGTAATTCTTTGATTCCCTACAGAGAATTAAAACAATTTAGAATCTACACTACTCAGGAAGACTCCTTATAAGTTTCACTATTCCTGATCTAGGTGTTCTTGAGATTTTAAAAAATAATTCTTATCATATTTCGTTGTAAAAAATGATTTCCAGTTATGCCCAAATCATACCCCACCCCTTCCGGGGGCCATGATTTGATCAATTAAGAATCCACACTGCCCCAAACGTTTCATTATAACTATTTCTGGCTCATTGCATCGTCGCAAACCACGGGTTTTGAGTCCGCAAGCTTCCTCAAGTGATGATAGAGAGAATCGACGTGAATCACCGGTGGGTTACCGACGATGGGCTCACTGTTTCTTGAAAGATTATTTTTAATTCCCCAATCTAATTTGATCTCAACTTGATTATCTTGCCTTGGAAGGGTTGGTTTTTATTTTAACAATTATTTAAACTAACCTTTGCCGAAGGATACTTTGTAACTACTTTTGTATAAATATGGCCAAGTGGTTCTTGAGAACAAAGTGTAAAATGTGAATTGTTTAAAGACCGACGGACAGCTACCGTAGATGGAGGGACGGTGGACATCGGTGATCTGAAAAGCTCATTTGACAGTTCAGCTTTGGAGAGCTAAAACTTAGCCTTAAAATAATTTTTGCATAGGCATCGGAACCGGGGTTGGAGTGGTGTAGAAAGGTTCCACTCTATTTGCCAAGAAACAGACATAATATAGGCATTGAAAATCGGGTTTTATGCTTTTTTTTTGTTGGTTTAGCCCCCGCCCTTTCAATCAGCCCATCCACATTCTATATGCCTCCGACGCCTATGATTTTGATGACCATGAACACCATAATTTTTCTACATTGTAGAACATTGGAATTTATGGATCCAACATGATTATGATAGCCCTGAGTATTGATCGCCTACACATCCTGGTCAGACCTTTGGGCACCCTTGCAAGTAGAGGTAGATACTTTGTTCTTTTCACCTGTAGCTACTAGAGGTAAGTACTGAGAACACTGACTGAATCTTTATCTTTTGGTACTTTGAAAGTCTAGTAACTGGATGAAAGTACTATCATTGAAATTTAAAACTTGATCATGCATCGGGAAATTTCGGTAAGTAGAAGCAATTCGTTCTGTAGAGTATCAACCAACTAGATAAGCTTAGTATTCAATATTCTACTACTTACTTGTTAATACAGTTTGTTTTGCACAGGCAACCATCTGATTTATTTCAGATTTTTGTTTAAAAAATAAATAAATATGTAAGGACTGTGTTACAATCTCATAGACAATTTTGTTTCAATCAAATTTCAGCATTGAAATGGTTTGAATACATTGGATTTTCCATCAATTTTCAATTAAAAGTATCCATTTAAGCACATTTTCTTTGATAATAAAATTCACTCAATTTAATACTTATAAAATTATTAAACTTCAGAAATTTACTTTTGCAGTCTATACGGTATAAAGAGCAGTTAAAATATAAAAATAACCCTGCATTCTCAATGCAATTGTTATTCTATTTTTAAATAAAATTAATTATGATATTACTCTGTTCTAGGGAGATTTTAATTGATTTCAGGAAGAAATCCTACAATAATATGCCTCTTTTGTTGGGTGGCAGCCGTCATCGTCTCTGTGACAGGACCCATTGTTTTTGAATTCGTAGAGGAATATAAGGCCTGTGATCTAATTCTGGATCTTTCTGAATTGAAGGTTCCCTTTATTTTCATTTGTTTCTATTCGTTTTTTTTAATATACAGCTTTAGGTTAGGCATTTCAAGTCTTTCTTATAAACACCAATAACTCACACAAAACTTTAAAATGAAATAAATTTGTGCGGAATATGTAAAATAAAGACAATGATATATCTCTTAATATACTCAGCAGCGTAAAGTATATTATCCGACAAACACCTGCGTAGTCTGTTTACTTTTTAGTTTTGAGATACATTTTCATTAAGAAAAGACTCGTTTTTGCTGCATTCATATTTCACAGTGTAGTTTTCAGTTCTCTAGTTACCCAATTCCAAAGTGAACTGCATCAAAGAATGTTGCTTGCTCCGTTGGCGTTTATTTTAAAAATATTTTTTCTCTTTGTTTCTCTTAGATTTTAAAACTAGTAAGAGGAGGAATATGTACAACCATATTAAATGTAATAAAAGAAAAATATAAAATAAAACATTTATGAGAGGATAAATAAACATGTTTATCTTTATAGATCTATTTCACCGTCATCTTCGTCTTCTTGTTTGTTATCCCCACAATCATCATCGTCGGGTGTTACTCTACGATAGCCGTCATAATATGGAGGGTCTCAGCTAGAAATGAAGGTACTTTTAAACTACCTAAGGATTTTTTTTTATTTTTCATCTTCTGCTTTCTGAATTCTGTTTGCATTTCTACTTTTGTAATAATTTTGCAGATTGAAAGCAATCATTTCATCTAGTTGAAATTGAAAACGAATACGAATTCTACTAATTTCTATGATGTGTTACTAGTAATAAACCGATAGTTAACATTTGAAATCAAGGTATTCAGATGAAAGATAATCCCTCTGGAAGCAGAAAAAATTCAAGACTGCTGTCCTCAAGACAAAGTAGCACATCCTCTGGATCAGAGCATGATGATTCAAACTCGTCAATATCCAGAGCCAAAATGAAGACCATTCGAATGACATTTATCATTGCAATGGGTAATGATTCTATTTTTATTTCCTTCCAAGTATGTCTTTATGTGTTCTGTAACTAAATACCTAAGATTTGATTGACTTTTTTTTATTTTACGTCTCTTCTTAACATTTCTAGGATTTGAAGAAACAGATATTCAACCTTTTACCAAGCTCTCATAAAAACACTCTTAAAATAAATTACTAGTTAATGATTCTTTAAATTCCAATCAATTTACATTTGCAGTAAGGTCAGTATGAAAGGCTTTTTGAATAATAATTCAGTTGACCTGAATGCTCTCTTTTATTCATTTGATTTAAATTGATTAACCTTATTTTTTTTCTTAACTCTGGTCTCTTTCCAGCATTTGTGTGTTGTTGGGCACCCTATATGCTTTACAACTTACTTGCTGTATATGGTCAACTTCCAAACACACCAGGATGGCAACCAGTTGGAATATTCATCGAGGGTCTTTTGCCTTTGAATTCTGTCGTCAATCCTGTGATCTATGGCGTATTCAGCATACGTGTCTGCAAACAGTGCAGGTAAAATTGACTAAGAGATGGAGTTTTTCAGAATTTTCAGGAGATTTGCCTTTATCATTTAAATATTGCAATATTCTCGTAAATCACTTCAAGTAAAACATCTTTTAATAGCCATTTCTGTAAAAATAAAAAACACCGCACTTTTCAAAATATTAAGATTTGTCTTTATGATGTACAATACTTCTATCTGTTATTTACATGAAAGCATTTGATTTTTAACAATAATATGAATTTGAAAGATATTTACACTGTACTTATTTTAATTTGTCAGTTACAAGAGATATTTTAGCAGACTGACGCATTCATAAATGCATTATTACGTACTTAAAAACAAAGCCAAATGATGTCATCATAAACTGAAGCTAAATGACGTCATTATTAACTGTAACTGTATGTTGTTATTATTAACTGATGTTAAATAATGTCATTATTAACTGTTACTGTATGTTGTTATTATTACCTGAAGCTAAATAATGTCATTATTAACTGTAACTGTATGTTGTTATTATTAACTGATGTTAAATAATGTCATTATTAACTGCAGGAACCGTGTAAACAGAAAGTTATCAACAACAAGGTCGACGCGGAAAACGGACCAGTTGTTCCTGTAGGCAGAGAGTTCTTATAAAGAAGCCAAAAGCTTATCATACATGTATTGCAACAATGAGGATAGGATTCCCTGCTTGAGAAAAGGCTTTACAACAAATTTCTGTTTAAATAAATTATTTTATTGTACATTTTTAATTTTCCTTTAATGAATGATGACTGACTACAAACCTGCGGACAATCTGTTGCGGTTGTGATTTGAAAGAATGTAAAAATTATACAGTTTTGTTCAAGAATATGACAAGCATTTGTATCATTGGTGTATTTCATTAGTTTCACTTTATATATCATAATTTTGTTTGTTGTCTAAGGCCCCTTTCGAGAATTTTTTTACTCGTATATGGAGACGCCACATTATGAAGGTGAATGGTTGTTAACATAATTATACTCGACCCTCATGACCATTAAACCGACAGGGATTTTTTTCGTGCTAGTACCTACTACAACAGACCTCAATTTACAGGTCGATTATATGAAGGACCTGTCTCCACATGTTTGGACCCTCAACTCCTTACTCTGTAACTGTATGGCAGAGGGTCTTACCAATCCAACCAGCCCTACCGATCTGTAACTCTTCATTTCTGAAAGGCCGTTGTTACCAAGTACAGATCTAAATTTGCAGCCTTCCAACGGCAAGTCTTGGCATCTCAATTTGAGTGAAAGATTTTCAAAGGCACGTTAAAGAAACAAACAAATAACCATTATTTAATTCAATAGATATGGTCTATATATCTCTGCAAAACTCCTTTTCATGAATAGTTTAACCTTACAATTGAAACAATTATTCGGGATACATAAACCTTCGAGAGGCAACCTATTATCGGTGGAATGCTGTAGATTACGGCCAATGCTTGCATGGCTCTCGGGTCATTAAGCAATCTTTTTTCTTGTCAGCACCTACTGTGACACGGGGTCTCGATTTATACGTTCTCTTTTGAAGGACTCTAGAACAAACCTCTGACCACTGCGCAACAGAAGCGACTCTAAGCATGTAGTGTGAAATTAATTTTAACCATCTCCCCTTGATGTTTCATTTCCTCATATAATTGATTGCATGGAATTGATTAAATTAGCTGTATGTTGATTTACACTTAAATATGATGAGAAAGTCAAACATCTCTAGCTGGCGATATGCACAGTATGCTGGTAACATCTGGGATCGAATACTATAAAAGACTTCCATAACATCATAACATTGATTAACTTTCAAATTGTGCATGGCTGTTATTTATGCAAAGATGAACAAACAAATTTGACTTTAAATCCAAAGGCTGTTCAATAAATAATGTCCTCGGTGCTCGGAAAGAAACAAAAAAAAAAACGCTTTTCAATGATTTAGTCGTAATGATTTCACTTAAATATTCTCTTTAAATAAACACATGTCCGTAACATTTTTATTCATTTTCTGAATGATTTTAGAACACATTTTTGAGTATGATCCTTCATTTACACTGGAATATGGCAGGTCCTATGATTTCCTGGAGTTGTTTCTTCTTCCAGAAATGTGTCTTTTTCAAGTTTAGAAAATGAAACAAGTCCAAGGGTAAAAAAAATCTTGCGAATATTGTTAGTGTGACAAAACATTATCTATTTGTTTATCCACAAAACTCCTTTAACTCTTCATGGTGTGTGGGTTTTGACGCTGTCATTGAAGAAATTTAATGACGTGTATTCCTGATTCTGGTTCCATTATCTCATAAATCTTTCAATTTTTTTGCAAAAAATTGCTGCCTAGACTTTTTCAAGAATTAAACTGCCTCCCAAATTAAGAATTTTAACAAAAAAAACTACTAATATTTAAGAAAATGACATATAAAACTATTTTTGTGCTTTTGTAATTCTTTACTTTTCTCAGACCTTGGCTGTTTTTGTAATGTGTATATTGTGAATTTGTTTTGAGGGTTTAAAGCATGGATTCAAGTTTTATTATATGTTTGAATTTCAGACAAACGTTGATAAATAAAATTTTGGATTTTTCAAAATAATCGTTTAGATATTCTTACACGCTGTCGTTTTGACTCAATTTTCAAAACATAGGGTGACTATTGCGTACTAAGCTTTCCAATGTCAAATGTTTCTTTTTCTTTTAAAAAGTGTAAACTACCCCCAAAATGTTGCCTATCAATTTTGCTATTTGTTTTAAAGTCAATCAATCATCATCAGTGATAATTTGTTGAACTTTGGAAAAAAGTACATTGGTTGTTGAAAGTCCTTGTCAGCAAGGACGATTCCTCTTTTTTAAGTCCATTATATAATTTTTGTTCATTGAAATCTCCACCTGCTCATGTGTCTATAAAACAGACATTGGTTCCTGTGAATTTCACAAATTTCAGGAAATATTTCTTTGGGATTCGTAACGAGTATTACAGCAGCTTTAATGAAGCGTTTAATTTCATTCTAGTTTACTGATTCTTTACCATTCATTTTTTAATTCAGTGTATCGAATAGTCCTTGTTTCCCAACTTCTCACAGTGAAACTTTGTGACAAAAAGTGATCACATAAACTGTAATCAATTCATTAAAGATTCAATCATTAGAAGAAGTCAAGCTTTATGTCTTATGATTTTTATATTGTATGTCATAGAGCTCAGGACATTATTCATTGAACAGCCCTCGTATACACAGAATCAGTACATGTAGCACTAGCGTAAAATTCTATAAACGTTATCATTTTGTGTACACAATGACTCAACGTCTTGCACAGTGATGTTGTTGTAAACAGGATATAAATCATAAAATCAAGTGCAAACATATTGCTTATAATTACTTGCGATAATATATAATTAAATCTTTATCAATATTTGTATCCCATATTTTCATCTAATGTATTACGCTCTAGGAATTTCATAAAAAGAGAACAGTCTGGAAATTACTTTTTGATCACTTGATTTGAATAAATTATCAAGCTATTTTTTGAAGTACAAAAATTAGTAATATATCTTTGTACTAAAAACTTTCCCCCAGATGGCCAAGAGAAAAAAAGCCAAAAGTAAAAATAATATTTTAAAAAGTAATGACTTCATATTAAAAAAAACTTATCTCTTCCACTATTGACCCTTGAACTTATGGGGAAAAAACTTTTAAAATTCGAAAAAAAAAGGTTGATAGCATATTTTCATTGTGCATAATTAAGTAAAAGTTTTATAACCATGAATATATAGCACAGATTCATGAAAGTACAGTGACAATAAATCTTCAATTTAAGAATTCAGTGGTTTTACCCTAAAGCTTTTAAAACAATGCAATTTTCACAATGTTAAAGCGATTTGTCATTGGAATGTTAATGAGATAAGATAAATTTCAAAGACGAAATGCATTTGAATATATAACCAAATTAGTCTAATACTGAAAGAAAAACGTCACGGGAAATATTGTTTTAGAAAAACTAATCATAAATTTCGTGCAAACAGAGCATTTCTGCTTGATTTTTGATATAAAAGAATATCTCAAAAGTACAGATAAATTTTGAGTTACGTACAATGTATTCTCCATCAAAAAATCCCGAGTCCTTCAAGCAGTGGTCATCTTGGCGAAAGGCTAACTGCTCAATATGTTTAATTCAGCTTAAGCAAAAAATGAACAGATAATATACAAAAAATGTACATCTGCAAAAAACAGCTCAGCAAAAAAACGGATAATTTTATATATATATATTTTTAAATTTGAAGGTTCTTCAGACTGGAAGAAAAACAGAGAAATTAACAATTTTTTTAAAAAGAAAAAACATGCCTTGTACATTCAAAAGGTTTCGTTGGTTTTAACAAGCACCTTATCATATAAAATATATTGAGATATATAGGAATTCTTTTCAGGAGAAGAACAGTGTAGTAGTTATGCAAACAAAAATAAAACATGAGGAAGTTAAAACTTATCAAAAGTGGGTCAATACCAGTTACTGTATATATATTGTTTTTGTATGCAATGTGTTTCAAAGATTAAAATTTTATAATCCAGGACACCAGTACTGCTGTGGTTTTATTTATTTCCTATTCTGAATTTTAATATGAATCATGCAGAAAAAGTCATGCATATTCTCTATTATTCCTTTTCCTTTTTTGTACCCCCGCTTGAAAATGGGAGGTATATAGTGATCAGGATGTCGACCCGGCCGTCTGTTACGCTTTAGGGTGCCCTGATCCCCAACTCTTCTTTTACCACTGAATGAAATTTAATGAGACTTTCACAGAAAACTTGTCGCAAAAAAATGTCATAAAGTTTTGTTTTTTTTTCATCTCCTACTTTAAGTTTTGATTCGACTCATATTTTGGGTTTTCCAGAGCAAAAAAAATGAACACTGCCATTTTCTCTATAATATTGAAGTGTACCCATCTATTTTCCGAAACTTCTCTTATATCACTGCATAAAGAAGATGGGGGGTAAGGCGGACGAAGTGCCTATAGAGCGACAAACATGAAGTGAACATTAAATCTCAATTATATCCAAATTTTATTTGATTTTTCATCTAACATTGAAATATACTTTATTTGAAATATCTACAATTTACAAAAATCATACGAATGAAATTATTTGCCTACTAAAACATACACACTCTAAAAAGGACAAAAAAGAGATCATTTTAACAAAATTTTCAACATGAGTGGGTCTCCTTTCCAATTTTTTTGAAAGATAATCTTAAAAGTTTGCAATAAAATTTACATTTTTAGTTTCACAAAAATATGGAGCAAAGACACACTATGCCTGAAGAGTACAAAACGTTTGTATCTGTCCGAGAAATAATCCAAGTCCATGAAGTCAATGGTCATATCACAAACATAATTCAAATGCTCCAATTCCTCATGAGCTGTGAAGCGTATGGGTTAGCGCGTTAGTCTCAAAGAAATTTGATACTTCGGATTTTAATTGCTAGAGTTGGAATCCCACGATTACATTTAAATAAAAGAATAATTTTTTCCGAGATTTTTTTTCTCAGAAAAGTTTTGTTTCTTATAAATTTCAAAAATTTTAATAATGCGAACTTCATTAAAATACTAAATTCACAAAATGAATATGATTTCTTAATATCTGAAGGTATAGACATTCTGCACACCTTGTTCCCCCATCTTCTTTAATGATACTTTCAGAGATTCTTTATTACATAATGCCATTGTGCACCTTCTATTTTACGTTCTGATTTGATATTTTTCATTGAGTCAAATGCTGACTGACGTTTTTCATACCAATTGTTAGTCCATTATTTATACACTGAATTGACGACGGATTCTCCCGTTAATTCCTGATCATGACAAAGAGCACACGGCGGGTGTGACCGGTCAGCAGGGGATGCTTACTCTTCCATGGCACCTGATCCCACCTCTGATGTTGCGGAGTTCCGTGTTTGCTCTGCTATTATTTTGTATTGTTTTATGGACTTTGAGATTGAATACTGTTCGTTATCCCCATATCCTTCCTTATTTTGGATCTAACAGAGCAAAACAGGGACTTTGCCATTATAACTATATGGGAGGTGAAGGGTATCATTTAGTGAGTTCATTGCTCACAATACCTAAATTATTTGAACCCATCACGTGATTCATCTGCAATCTATTCAAGTTTCCGCTCAATGATGGCAATGGCAATACATTAAGATAGAGCTCTAGATTGATCGGAGATCAAACATACATTGCAATGGAATATTATGCTGACTACTACAGCGACTTCTATAATGCTAATCAAACGGGGAATGCAACATCCACGCCGCATCCTTATATTGTGAGTACAATTCAGTTCATTTTAAAAGTATTCTTTCTTATATATGAGCATTTTAAATTAAATTTTAGATACTAGACATATTTAGCTATAATTAGCAGTTAAAAGGTAGAATCGATAAATGGATAATAATAACATGGTGTTCTATTGTACTCCAACTACGATACAATAATGTTTTGTCACATAACGATGATGAAAATAAATTACAAATAGTTTTATATGAGGTTTTCACTTAGAGAACATATTAATACAGTTATTTAGAATTTTAGAAGGATTTCTTCAGTTATCATTGAAGTGCAATATTTCTATACAGCAAGATATCCAAAATGAATATGCATCAATAAAACGGTCTTTAAACGGTAGAAGTTGTTACTAGTAATATGTTGTCTTGTGTAAAGCGTTCAAATAATTGTGTACCCTTTTTTGCTATAATAAAAAAACAGAGCTACTTTTCGCTACATTTAAACTAACTGTGTTATAAATCACTACAATGATACTGCTAGAGAATAGCTAAAAGCCAATCATATAACTCTTGATGTTCGAAAAATGATTATAGTGATCACTTAGCTTTTTGATAGCATATTTTCTTCCTCCAGTTCAATAGATTTCTGCAGTTATCGATCACAATAAGTGAACATCACTTTAATACAAAAGACCATTCGCCTAACATTTTGTCTCGATAGGAACTTTTCAAACAAAATTTAAAAAAAAAAAAACCTTGGTAATATAAGGCCTAATGGTAAAGTATTTTAAAGTCCCTCGAGTTTTGTTTGAATGGTCATATTGATTCTAAATTTTAAAAAATATAATACATTTGTTGTTTTCGCAGAAAAATGTATTAAAGTCTAATAAGATTAGATTAGATTGAAAATAATCAGTTCTCAATTAATTTGTCTAAAATTCACAGTACGTGTGTATTAATATTTAATAAATGGGAAGTGACTTTGACCTATATATTATTTGTTGCATGTTTTGATTGTTATTTATTTGTCTGTGCCATCGTTATGTTATGTAGAACAGGTTTCATCGCATCCTTCCGATATGAGTGTCTGTTTTTAAACTCTCGGAAATTAAAACCACTTTATAAAAACCTTCACACTATAAGCGCATTACATATTAGCACTTACCTTCTATTTAATTTTATCAATCATTTATTTTAAAAAAATTAAAACAAAAAACTGAGTTAAGTGAAAAACATCAAACAAATCAGTTGCATTTGACACCAAATTGAAGACATATGGATTTATATACTGTATTACAGTATGTGCCATTTAAAGGAACTTGTGTTTTTTCTTAATTCGACATAAAAATGTTTGTGCAGCGTACATTTACCTTTTTCTCTACCTCAGATCTGCTCCCAAAGTGAATTTAACACCAGCTGTAACCATACAGCATATATAAACTCTCTCTCTCTCTCCACGTTTCAGCAATCTTAGTTTTAAATAAATTCTTCTTCACACTCACTTAGATTGGGCATGTGGTATTTGATGTGTTCCTGTTATTTCTTATCCTTGCCGGTAACATCACCGTTTTCGTTGTCATCGTTGTTGAAGGTCGAAGAACAAGGATGAATTTCTTCATTAAGAATTTAGCTATTGCAGGTAAACTTGATTTGCTTCTTGCTGTTACAAGTTAAACATTGTCCTAATTTATATTTAGCGACCATCTTCTCTTCAATGAAGGTACTATGAATGGTTTTAACGGAGTGATCAAACGTTATCATCAATCGAATTGCCTTTTAAAAGAGGCAAATAAATACTAACTTCTGTTCTGTTTTCATTTCATCCTCTGCACAGGATACTTCATTTGGTTAATGTAATCAGGACTACAATAGCCTACAAAAGACACAGGAATTATATAATACTCAAATAATGAAATATTCTGTTTTATTAAGAAATGAAAGATATAACAGTTCATTGTACTGATTCAATTCGTTAACTGAATTTTAGAGTATAGAATTTATTGGACGTTGAAAGGAAATAGAAAACTTGATTAAAAGATCTAGAAATACAAATCAAATTTAGTCATAAAATTAGAATTAGTCCTTTTCAAAGATGAGGTTTATATATAAAAAAATAAGGTCTCAAATCAAGTTAGCTGCAGATCTGAAGCGTTATGGTTTTATATATATTTGTCTTTGACCATAACGCTACAGATCCCGTAATGCAAAAAAGGTGCCATTTACGGCGCGATATTTTTTGCGCACTTTTGGGGAGAATTTCTCCACTTTCTAGCATTAGTCAATCAACTTCCTTTCACTGCTCAATTCTACACATATTCTGTAGCCAATATGTATATTTTATTCACCTCCCAACCATTTATAGTTGTCTCCACAGGCAATAAACTCGCTTGAAGTGAATTTTCAGCAATTTAACAAATAATTTTAATCAAGCGAGTTTATAACTTGTAGTGACGACTATAAAGGGTTGAGAAATGGATAAAATACATGTATACAGATTAGTTAAATAATGTGCCTAGTATTAGGGAGTGAAAGGAAGTTGATTGACCAATGCTAGAAAGTGGAGAAATTCTCACAAAAAAATATTGCACCGTAAATTGCACCTTTTTTGCATTACGGGATCTGTAGCGTGATGGTCAAAGACAAATATATAAAACCATAACGCTACAGATCTGCAGCTAATATCAAGTATGAAGTATAACTTTTATTAATAAATAAGAGCAGCACATAATGTAGTTTCCTTATTTTTCGCGAGTACTTATTATTGCGAATGGGCTCTTCAATGTCAAACCGCAATAATAATTATTCGCGAATGGACGGTTGGTCAAGAGATTTTACATAGATTTCAGCACCATAGAAATAAAGGCGAGTAATTTTATTTCGCGTGTGGTGCTTCTCGCGAAATTACGCGATAATTAATTCTACGCGTATAAAATCCACTTATTTTTTGCATGAATGAGCTTTAATTCAACTTATATATACTTATCAGTATGTGTATCGTTTCAGACATGTTATGTGGTATGTTTTATTTGATTCCCCGAATCGTCATCCATCTCAATAATGGGCTATTCTATGGAGGAAACGCACTGTGTAAATTTCAAGTGTTTCTGTCGGTAAACTTATTGTATTTATAAATTTAATTACCCCAGTCAGTTTACGAGTAATTTTCAGAATGCAATTAATAAAAAAGAGGAAGATATATAATAAACATTTTTATATCAATAATGAGAAAGATTTGTTTGTGCCGAGGATAATGGATTTAACTCAGACAAGACATGTACATGTTTCTATTCACAAAAGACTGATTAATACATTGTACCCAGTTTCCTTTGTTTTGACTAATTAAATATTCATCTTGGATTATTTTGATGTTTTGTATAAACAGCTGTATTGAATTGTTTAGATATGTTTTTTTTCTAAACTGATCTATAATAAACGTTCAATTTATTTCCTAAAGAATATAGGAATTTATGGTTCCAATTCGATCATGATAGCTCTGAGTATCGACCGTCTTTTCATCCTCCTAAGACCTTTAGGGAGTCTGGAAAATAGAGGTGAGAACCAAAACATTTATTTAGTACATGTAATCACGTTTTATTGTACAAGATGAAATTAACTGATATATTTGATTACAACATTTAATCTTATAGTCTAGTGAAATTCGAGATAAAAACAAACACATTTAATTCAATTGTCGTGAAAGAAAGTATCATCAAAGCATTTCCAATCCAGTTTTATTCGAATTAAAAATATACCGACTAGATAAACCTCAAGATTTTTTGTCTTTTTGGTCCTGTTTTATATTTATAAATGAGATGTAAATGAATTCATAAGACTGTTTGACATAATAATTATTATCATGGTCATTTGATAGATACTTTTGTCTAAATTATAAGAACCGATTACAAGAATCGTAAACAACTAATATCTCTTTTTATTTATAAGTTTATAAAAGAACGAGTGCACTTATAGGCCCCGATAATTTGTGAAAAATAAATCAAATTAAGCAAAATTTTTCATGCCAAATCATTAACTGATATCTAAACCGTACGATTCAACAAATTTTACCGCTGAAATTCTCGAATATACAAAGAACAAAACCCTAGAATGTCAGCCGACATTTGTGATTTCTATAGTAAATCGAGATCATTCATTTATTTCAAAGCTTTTGTTTACTATGAACCTAACTTTTAAAAACTTGTGCGAATGACAAAAGACGCATCATACATTTATGAAACTTGTGTGGAAGTAGGAAATTTGTACACGATTAGGCTGGTACTTAAAATATAAAAAATGTACAAAAAGTACAATGTTTTTCCAATAGCAAGTGAGAGCTATTACCTGTATGACCAATGTTGAACCCACGTGTGGAATAAATTATTTAAAATACTTAAAGTCACGTGAGTTCTACCAAGGTAAGCATTCCTCAAAGGTGCTCACTGTAAAACATCGGCAGGTTTTGTAGCATTTAGTGAAAGTCGTGCCGCTTAGAAATATTTATATGCATTTGTTTTTAAGAACACGGGAGGGTAAAGAGAGTTTAGTGCCATTCATAAAAGTGTCAAACATTTTTAACATTCATGGAAGACAGTGAAACAGGTATTGAAAGTCTCCTTTTAAATTTCAAATTCAATGAAACTATTATTGTATTTTTTTTTCAAATGCAAGAGTACCAATTTCTTAGTTTGATCATTATGGCTACAAGAAACTACACAACTTCATTCAATTTTTAAAAACAGATTTGGCGCTAAAAGTAACATTCCGCAAACGCGCCCGACTATGATCCACCGTCAGACTGTTCAAGTGTTCGATTTAAATATCTCTTCCCCTTGATTTACATAAATGAAACTCAAAGAACGTTCGGTACTACTTTTCCGGATTTAGGGTATCCATTGGCATTTTAAAAAAATCGTTTCAAATCCATGCTGATTTAAGTTATTATTAACGTGCTTTTTAATTTGAAATATCCATTAGTATCTAATTATTACCAAAAGAGAACGATTTTGTAACATATTTTCTTAAGTAAAATGACACATAAAAAGGGCCCACTAAGTATTGCTCAAGTCTACTTGTCCTTCATCCTTTTTATCGAATGTTAGAATTGTTTGATATTCTTGCCAGAATTTTAACATGAAATATATGGAGATATTTAAACTCAAATGTCCAATCAATATACAAATCAAGAGCAGAGTAAATACGAACTTCTATAACATCAGAGATGGGACTATGTGCATTTAATGAGTGAAAATCCCCTGTCGACCAGCCTTGTGTGCTCCAAGTCATGATCGAAAAATAACGGGAAAATCTGTCGACAATTCGGAGTGTAAATAATGGTCTAACAATTAGTATGAGAAACGTTAGTCAGTATTTGACCGAATGAATAAAATAAAATAATGCATTGTTTTTGCTGGCAAGGTCATTGTATCGACCATAAAACTTACGAAATGATGACTTTAAAAGAGTCTATTGATTTTTTTGTTTCAGCATCTTGTTTGTCTATAAGTTACCTCGTTTAAAAATTTGTTCATAAGTATAGAGCATGCTCATGCGTATCGAATCAACTGAGAAATTTAAGAAAAACTAACATTTATCATACATCTTCTTTCTTGAATTACCATCGTCTTTTTCTAGTAAAATGTCCAAATAAGAAACATATGTGTCAGCTTCTTTGGTATCTTTTTGGAGTTCACTGGAAGACATCGTGTCGACAAATGAAAGGGAAATGTCGACTGCTAATTGATAATTCATCGATGATATACTTGTACCTAAATGTCAAGTTGAAGGCCACTGTGTTTTCTTAGTTTCTTCTTATTTACATATGAACTTTTGAATAAAGTCTGCTTCATATGAGTTTGAAATAATAAAAAAGGTTTGCTAAAAACGGCGCCCGAGTGGTACCCATGGGAATTCCTACAGATTGTTGGAAGACCTAGTCTCCAAAATAGCACATAAATATTGTCAATCTGAAACCCAAGCATCTTTTTGATGTCAACTTCAGAGTACTTTTATGTACAATCAGAATTTTTGTTAAACAAAATAATTTTGTAATTGACCAACGACAAGATAAGGAAATTTACGAGTACAATTTTTATTTAAAAATCAGCTCTCTAATGATGTCAAACAACCTGGACTTTAATTTATCGTAGGGAATGGTTGTTTAAAGTGTTGAAAAGGCATGCGTATTAATGTTATTGATTTTGGTAAAATTGTATGATCCAAAGATCCATGGAGTTTTTAAGCATCTACATCTCATTTCCACCACAATTTGAAGATTTCTTCTTCAGAAAGGTAACTATGGGTATAAAGTTGAGTTACGACCAGAAGAATTAAATCCCACTTCCTGTAAAATACAATTAAAAAATGAGCCTTTAAAACAAAAGTTCTGATTTCCAGAAATCACCTGATGTAACCTTCAAAATGTTGCAGAACATATATTACTGCATTATGACTTGATAACTATAACATATGTAGAGTGCTACTAAAATTGAGACCATTTCCTTGATCATTAATTTTGTGAACTTTTTGGTCGATCTGTGTTCATAAAATACATGAAGATGAACTCATGGGATTGTTAAAAACCATAATTATTAAAGCTATTTGATAGAAACGATCGTATAACATTGTAAGAGTAAGGCTAATGGGATCCAAATATAAAAACCGTGAACCACTTATTGATCCTTTTATTTATTATTCATGGAATCTGTGGTTTTCATTTGTTTTCTCAAATGCAAGGATTGTCTGATATTCTTGCAATTTGTGTCATCTGTTTGTCATCTGAAACTAAACATATAGTCAATTTTTTTTTACTTATGACATTCAAAGGAACAGGAGACTTAAAAGTGACTAATAAATATTCTTTTAAATAGCAAATTAAATTTAATTTAACTTCTTACAGAATTAAATTTTCCAGCAATAAAAAAATGTTTTCCACATTTCATTTTTATGTAAATGTTTAAAAAAAGAAGAAAAAAAAACCAAACAATTCTACATGCAGTCGGTTTCGAAACTAGGGTATGCGGAAAAGTAGATCCGTAAAACCGATTAACACCTTTCAAATTTAAATAAAGGCAGAAATAGTTACCTTTATAAAATAAGATGCGAGTATTTTGTCATTGTGTCAAATAGACGCGTTTAAGGAAATACTAGTAGTCCACAAGAAGTGTTTTCCCTAATTGGTCGACAATTTGAAACTTGTGTCATCTCTTGTGTCATCACCAAGGTCGACAGGTCGACAGTTGACATTTAATTGTAAAATCTTATCCTTCAAAATAAATGTCGACAGGTCGACATCAAATTGCTAAATCTTGACAACCAATTTGAATACTATACATGTACCGGTATTCCCTTAAAACAAAAGTCGACCTCTCGACTCGTCTACTTGTCAACATGTCGACCTGTCTTCCTGAATACATGTTGACCTATCAAGCAATCAGTCTGTCAACCTGTCGACTCGTTTACCTGTCTACCTGTCCACAAAACATTCTGTCAACACGTCGACCTGTCAACTTGTCGACCTTTTTCCATGTACACAGTTTTACCAAAAAGTTTCCTACGCTGCATAGAATTACTCTAATTTTCCTCACATTTATTGCAATGCTTTTTATTTGTTCAGACCTTTAGCGTATGAAAATATTTACTGGCACTACTTATCCATATATCCTTGTTGAGCCAAATTTGTTAAGTTGAACTGTGTTCATATATAAAAAGGACATTTTTTTCCAACTCCTGCTCCACAAATAAAAGTTGCAACTATTCTGCTGAAAAAATAAACTTATTGTGATAACGATCATCCTTTCAGAAAACAAAATTCTGAAAAGAAAAAAGAGTTCAAGAGTCTTGTTTATTTTAACATGCACCAAAGTTTTTGAACTATTTTCTAAGATTGAAAATTAAGTTTAAATTTACATTTGATCATGATTAGTTTTGAAATACGCTACGAAATTATCTTGCATATAGTTTTTTGTTATATGAAGGGACTTGGTTTGTTTTGTCTTTTAGAATTTTCATTATTCTCACTGACATTTTTTTTATTAACGCAATATCAATTGTCATCCAAATGGTGCAGGATTGGAGGTTATGAAAGTATGGAAAGTATGAAACATCTACTTCAAAATTTTAAGATATTCTGCTTCTAAGGCGCTGACGTCCGTATTTGGGAAACAAAAGAAACTTACATCTTTATTTAATCAGATTGACAAATGTAAAATATTATTTTTTTTATTTCCAAGGATATATTTTTAAAAGTCAGTTTACGATAGTGTTGCGTTTTTGGTTGTAGCTGTTGTTGCAAATATGATTCACTCACGATTTTTCCAAAATTTCCATGGAAATAAAATGGAATATTCTCTTCAAATTTGCTTTTTATGCTTTTCAAATTGATAACATAGAGGTATAAATATTAAGTATTTACTTATTACCAGTAATTTCTTTGATTTCTTCCAACAGTGACAATTTTGAAAATTTGAATGTCATATTCACAAAAACCCGGTGATTATTGATTCTTCATATCTTTATTGCCATATGCGTAGATTCATAATGCAAAAAATTATACTTGAAACAATATGTATGAAGGTAGTACATTTGTATACTGTATATTGATTCAAAATTACTTTGATTATGGTGCAAAGATTGCTAAAAGGCAAAATAGCTACATCAACACTATTTCTTGCATGACATATTTATTTCATTTTATTTATTCTGAGATTGAACCTGTGTATTAATTGTTTCCAGAGAGAAATCCAACAGTGATTTGCTGTCTTTGCTGGTTGGTTTCAGTCCTTGTCTCTGTATCGGGACCTATTATTTACGAATATGATAGCGTTTACCATCAGTGCTATCTTTATCTCACCGTGGAGGAAATGCAGGTTTTAAATATCATATCTCATCGCTTCGAAAAGCAATGTTATTCCTAAATATTTCAAATCCATAGTTTTCTGAATTCAAATGTTGGCATAATACAATTTCTTATGAATGTGAATTTTTTTAAAAAACATGTTTAGCAAAATTAATAAAGGGTATACATGCCTATATTGTTTCTCCTTTCAGATCTATTTTATCATCATTTTTGTTTTTGTCTTCGTCATCCCCACTATCATTATCGTCGGATGTTACTCTTCAATAGCAATAATTATTTGGAGGATGTCATCAAAAACACAAGGTACCTCTATTACTGTATTTGAAAACTTTAAGTTAACTATTTTCAAATTTTGCATTCTATTACTCCACAATGAAACACAACAGATACAACACTTTGTAAGAAATGTCAAATTTTAAGACATATTACTGTTTATAATACTTTCATGTTAAATACTACAATCTAATTGGTTTAGACGCAGTTGACAATCCGTTCTATTACCCTCAGCCGCAGCAACACACGTGGCAACGGGTAACACAACGGTAATGTCACATGCGTGGAAATTATGCGCGTACGGTTCACCGTAGAATTCTCAAAACGTCAGTTGCGCGTTTGAAAGTACCGGAATAAACTTGACGTCAATAAAAGCTTGTCTCCGATGTAGCTTACTTGAAAACAACAAACGACAGACGAAACATGCTTGCGAGTGCAAGAAATAACGAACCTTCAACCTTTAGATGAAAAAGGACTCTTACATTATCAAATTAACAATAAAGAGGTCAGTAAATCTTTTTCGAAGTAGCGGGGAGTTTGAAAGCTTTCTAAACGTGAACGTAAAGACGATCGACGATATTTTTGCTGACATCCTAAATCAAGAAGACATTCAGTATAATAAAATAAATGGTGCCTGTTTTGGAGGGTAACAGTTGAAATTGGCACCCCAAGGAAAACCATTGTCAACCGACGCGTTAGCGGAGGTTGACAATGGTTTTCCGAGGGGTGCCAATTTCAACTGTTACCCTCCAAAACAGGCACCATTTATATAATGTGTACTTAAAAGGGTGGGCATCGTATTTTGGCGGCTTTGGTGCAGACATTGATGTCCTAATTGATGAAGTAATCATATATAAAAACAATATACAGCCTGGACGTGTGAAGCGCTAATTCAAAAATACATAAACAACTCAATACCCAAAAATTTATCTAAATACCAGTATTGAAAACGCCAATTTATGTACATGTACAGTATTTCTCATTTAAGAAAACATTTTTTAGCCTCGCATTTGTAAAAGTTTATCTAAAGTTCGGGCCATGAGATCTATTTAACCGTTTATGTTCAGATGTTCAGTTACAAGACATCTCATCAGAAGGGAAACACGAATCGAAATCATTGACGTCAAAGCAACGCAGTGATTCCTCTGGGATATCAAATGCCAAACTAAAGACCATAAAGATGACGTTTGTCATTGCAGTTGGTGAGATCTTCTTTCCTATTGTTCAGTAGTTTTTATTTTATCAAATCGCTGGAGCCATATCTGTCAATGCCTATTCATTTTCATCCAAATTCTTTCTACATGTACATCTCTTCAAATCTGAGAGTTCAAAATCTTAAGTACTTCATATTTTTCAAAAAAATAAGTTATTGATATTGTTCTCATCAGCTAAACATTTATTTATTTATTTATACTCATTAATCATATCAATTATCTATGCATAAAAAATTAGTATTCGACTCTTATCCTGTTCTTACAGCCTTTGTGTGTTGTTGGGCGCCCTTCATGATTTTCAATTTGCTGTCTGTGTATGATAAGGTGCCAGAAATGGAATCCGAAAATTTATTCATCCAGGGTCTACTGCCCCTGAACTCGGTCGTCAACCCTCTCATCTATGGCGTCTTCAGCGTCCGAGTATTTCAAGACTGTTGGTAAAAAGTTTAAATTCCTTTTGACGTACAGAGTAGATCAAATGTCTCACTTATGAAATAATTGTAAGGGCATAGTCACCAATTTCAGAATAAAATCGCAAAAATATGCTTTATCTCGAGTATCCTTCTTGAAAGACGAGTTAAAAATGTAGGGACGTGAAAAACTGAAACAGCATATGATATGGCCATAAGTCGTATTTCTCTCTTGGTGAAAATGTGCATGTATGGGTTGTAGAAAATGAAATTTGGCTGACAAATTGGAACAGAAAACCATAAGTATACATGTAATAATTTTATCATTATCGTTATTATTGTAAATGTTTTAATAAATTCTAGTGAAATTTATTCTCTTATCGAAATGTATATTCTCATCGGAACAGTTAAATTCTTTGAAGTAAGTTTATGAATTTAGGTCTTTTTTGGCGGGGTCTTCAATTTAGATAAAGGCTTGTGATACGTTTTTTTTTTCTCTCGACATGATATAACATCATCGAAGTATCCTGTTAGTTAATATCTGCTTAATAGATAGGGATATGCATGAGTTTGATTGGCAGACTCGAGTACAGATTCCCCCGGTACCTGTTCTTGTGGAAAGAACAATATTTATTAACTAATAATTATCTATTTATTAACTGATAATGGTAATATGCTCTTATCAATCCCTTATATACGGAAGCCCAATAGTGCAAACCAAAAATAAATAAAGAAAACGAAATTAATATATAAAGATAAACGAAATTAATATATAAAGAAAAACGAAATTATTAAATAAACGGAAACGAAATTATTTAAAAAAAGGAAAACGAAATTAATATATAACGAAGAACGAAATTATTAAATAAAGAAAAACGAAATTATTAAATAAATCATTTCGTTTTTCTTTATTTAATAATTTCGTTTATCTTTATATATTAATTTCGTTTCTCTCTATTTAATAATTTCGTTTTTCTTTATTTAATAATTTCATTTTCTACTTTTAATAATTTCGTTTTTCTTTATATATTAATTCCGTTTCTCTTTTTATATTAATTTCGTTTTTCAAGTAAAAAACTGAAACTAAAATACGGAATTTAAATATGTGCATGGTAAGGGCCTGCAGGTGTCGTAACAGTAAATCATGGCTGACGCAAAATAATCCCGGTATCTTCCCTTCCGATTCTTGCATTTTTATACGAGACAGGAGCTGAATTTTTTTATGAGATGAAAAACAACATGTAAACTTCCTGTATTGACTAAATTTATTAAAATTTAGGGCGTGCTGATTTTTCTATATACTGTCAAGTGTGGGGAGTGATTAGGCCCTGGACTGCATTTTCAAACACCTGCTCGACTTCGATCGAAACAAACTTGTGTGCTTTGCTGGATGGTTATGTATTTTTTGGTACTAAAATCTTGACAAGTATTAGCTTTCCTAAAAAGCTTGTCTGACGTAGTTTGCTTTAATTAATAAAGCAGAGAGAAATAATATATTATGTTATAAAACTTCTTTCGTTCGATAATATATCTTCAAGATACCATGCGCAATCAATATTGTATACAATAATGTACAAAGAACTCTAAATTGAAGCTCCTGGCTCCAGGATCACGAAACAAACTAAAACTTAAGTGAAATTTTTAATCGCCGATAAAATATTTATTAATTATGGAATTCATTTCTTCATTTGCACATAACAACATCTATGTGAAACAATATTAAAAATATTCCTAATCCTTCTGGTCTGCTTGACTTTTACAACATTTTATTGTAAAAAAAAAAAGAATTTGATGGACGTAGGCTTAAGATGTTTCAAGATCCCGGGTCAGCATTTTTCAAGTAATGTTTTATATGTTAAATGACCTAACTAATTTTTTATTTAACAAACAGAATAAAATGAAGATTGTAAATGATAAAATCAAAGGGAACATCTTTGATCACTTAACGGGCGCGTATAACCTTAACCCTGGCGATAACAATCTTGGCAGAGCGTTACACATGCTGACCATTCCCCTGCTGTTCTTGAAAGCTTTCATTGCTTCTCAAACCATTTGATGTACAATGATTCTCTACTAAACACTGTTACGTAATTGATTGATGAAATTCTTAACTGAAGCATCTGGGAAAAGAAACAAGATTATGCAAACTAATTAACAAATTGATGCAATATCGTCCAAAATATAATCGTTGCATAGGAGTGAAGTATAACAATTCAGCAACATACAAATCTATTTACACAATAAATAATTAAAAGCGAACTTGAATAAGAATTTTTTTTCTGTTTTCACTGCATTTTTCTCAGACACTGCACTATCAGTTTTTATAATATTTGGAGCAGGACAACTAAGAGAAAATATTTTATCACGTGCCTGTTGTTTAGGTACTAGTAAAGCAATACCAAGGTTTAATTTTACTGAAAATAAGCAATCAATTATTTAACCATAACTTAACAACACAAAACAATGAGACTTATATAATAAGGCATTTTTTATAGAGAACTGAAGCGGACATGTTCAAAGATGAAAGCACGGATTATACGAAAGACACGATCATTAATTAATGTAAATAAAAGCTCAATTCCTCCTGGGACGAACTACATGCGTCTTTGGAGATTATGCATGTATCGAAATTTCCACCATCGAACTATCTAAACAATTTCATGGAACGACTGCATAAATGAGCCCTGGTTAAATCTAGTACTGTCTGACGCCGTGACGTCAGACAATAAAGAATTGTTTTATAAGATCTGAAAAGGAACTTCTGACACCTACTCCAACTTGCGCATTTTTGGTAAAAATATATAGCAACCTGAACCAATGAATCATTGCATAAAGCGCACATGCTATAAAGCATCACCTCGTAACTCTTTACGCTTTATTTCGACATTACAAATGTGTAGTGGTAATGAAAAATTAAAGATTATATAAATGTCAAATTTACAAACGTAGAAAAAATTTGTACACACGGCCGAAAATTCCCATTTCCATAAACAATTCATAAACTATTCAATTTTGTTTATATGTTGTGTCATATCCCCACATCATTGTTGGAGTCTCTAAGCCTGGACTTAGCGAGGGTGGCTGTTTCTGTTTGCACAGAATTAATGACATTCTAATTAAGCTCATGAATCGCGAGAAGGTCATGATCAAGACCTTGCGTATCGTATTACTGAATTCCCTCGAACTTAACCTAGCGTCCTATCTGTGTACTATAAATCATAGGTTGTTGAAATTATAAAGAGAAAATTGATTTGATTATTTTGTGGGATTTGTTTTGTGCAAGTGTGGGCATTGTTTGGTCACAAATATAACTGATTTATAAATACAGATTGAGAGTTTGTCATTTAGAATATGTGAATCAAGTACTATAGTAGTCATGTAGTACCACTGACACGAATAATACAGATTGAGAGTTTATCAGAAGTGTTTTGCTTTATTTCTAATATAGTAAGCAATCATTAAAATCTACTTATTGTAACCACTTTGACTTGTTTTAAGTTTTGCACTTGTTATCTTTATACATTTTTTTTACAATGTCAAGCAAATCCACGAAGTCCGATATCATTACGTATTATTTTACGGTATTTTCTAATGCATGTACTGTAAAGCCATGGGGATTTCATAAATGTTAAAAATTCAACAGTACATGTTGTAAATAACGGAATCTTAACCTTCATGTTTATCTTGAATATTTGTGAAATTTATTAGGATGATCTCTTTAATGTTTCATGTCCAAAGTGATTATTTATGTGTCAAGATTCATTATTTTCTGATCATTAGACCTTTCGAGCAGAGGGTTTAAGAAAGCTAATGTTAACCAATTGTTAACGTCAACGTCTCACCGAATTAATCACTGGCCAAATTATGAGACTGGCCTAAGTTCACATTCATCGTGTTATTGTAAAATAAAAACATAAATCTAAGCATATTACTATTAGATACCAAAGGTTAAATTCTCCCCCATTCAATTATTGTAATGGTTATGCATTCGATTCAGGAGTCGGTGAGTGCAAAGGCAAACATCACACTTGTAAATTGTCGAAACAAAATCAAGTCTAACAGACGCGTGCGCTAATGATGTATGGGTTCAGGCCCTTACCTTGCACATCTCTAAATTCCTTATTTTAGTTTCAGTTTTCTACTTCAAAAACGAAATTAATATATAAAGAAAAACGAAATTATTAAAAGTAGAAAACGAAATTATTAAATAAAGAAAAACAAAATGATGTATTTAATAATTTCGTTTTTCTTTATATATTAATTTCGTGTTTGTTTATATATTAATTTCGTTTTTCTTTATATATTAATTTCGTTTTTCTTTATTTAATAGTTTCGTTTCTCTTTATTTAATAATTACGTTTTTCTGTATATATTAATTTCGTTTCTCTTTATATATTAATTTCGTTTTTCTTTATTTAATTATTTCGTTTTCCTTTATTTAATAATTTCGTTTTTCTTTATATATCAATTTCGTTTCCCTTTATATATTAATTTCGTTTTTCTTTATTTAATTATTTCGTTTTCATTTATTTAATAATTTCGTTTTTCTTTATATATTAATTTCGTTTTTCTTTATTTAATAATTTCGTTTTTCTTTATTTAATATTTTCGTTTCTCTTTATTTAATATTTTCGTTTTTTCTTTATTTATTTTTGGTTTGCACTATTGGGCTTCCGTACTACTTATACCAATACAAGGCTCTTTTATCGTTATTTTAGAAGTTTTTATAGACAAGAATATTTTACGTATCGTGTAAGATATGAGTTCCATTACATGTAATTGAAGTTAACACTTGATATAATGTTTATTGCCTAAATACATGTATAATAGGTACAAATATAGTCTGATCCTTAATAACAATATTTTTATAATAGAATCTCGTTTATAACGAAATGTAATATTATTTATTTTGAATGAAACTAATAATCTTAAAATGAATTAATGGGTTTGATTTCGAAATGTATTGATAATTTTAATGTATCATTTGTATCAATTTTTAGTTTTAAAAATGGACAAAATTTGTTCGGTGCAATAAAATATTTTTTAATGCTCACACGTGTTGTCGACGTCATCTGGACAAAATTGGTTTTACAATAGAAATACCATTCCATATTATTCCTATTCAAATACTCCTATTTAAAGTATTTGTAATCATTTAACAACTTTTGAATTTTTCTTTTAATACAGGAGAAAATTCACCAGAGGATGACAGTATGCATGAAGAACGACACAAAATTCGATTTTATGTATACGGTGTTTAAACTTCTGTATAAGAAATGTTTTTTTTTTTGGTTTCCATGGTGCAGAGCATTTATATTGCCATATAAGACGATGTTATCTAGATAGAAATGAAAGGTCATTTATAACTTTGAACTTGTCTACAAACCTACATATACGAACAGTTATAAAACTATCAGGAATTACGGTGGTAATGATAAAAGAACATGATTTTTTTTTTGGTACCACATCAGTTTCTCTAAATAGAATATTTATATATTGCATAACAGGAAGATAATATTATGATTTTTTTTTTTTATTTTGTGAGGTCTGAATCATGAGGCAGACAATCAAAGAGATTCTTCAGACTATAAACAAACATTTTTAGGGATTTTTTCCTTAGGGTCAAGAGTAATCTATGGATTTGCTTCAAGCAAAACCGTATATCGCCACTTGAATAATCACAATCATCGCACAAAATATGTTACCATCTCCTGTTCTCCTGACATTGTTTTCTGGTGCTGTACTTTTTTGTGTGGCGTTTGTGGTGTTTGTGGTGTTTGTGGTGTCGTTGCTTGGAACCGTTGTTGAAGTGGAAATTGCAGTTTCATTGGCTTTAACATTTTGTTGACTGGAGTTTATGGCTCCATTGGTCGATTTTACTGTGTTTAGGGATATAGTTGTAGTAGTTGTAGTAGGTTGTATGCTATTTATTGGGTCTGAAGTGGTCGTATTCGTATCGGCTGGTGTAAAGCCTGCTGAAATATTAAAATTAAGATGACGCAACCCTTATGGGTTTTTTTAAAAATATCTACTAAGGTACATGTATAACTTTGAATTAAAAAATAAAACTTACTAAATACCATCCACCCAAACGACATAATTGCCACAGTTATGAATGATTTAGCCATGATTTGGTTTATCTGCAATGAATGAGCATTAGCAACGTTGAAGCATTTTACAAAATAATTGTTACGATGAGTTTAAAAATTGTCTTTTTTCTTTATTAAATAAGACTTTTGCTAAAATCTTCTTTTCTTCACTTAAAATTTGCAATTTTAAATGAAATATTTAGTAAAGGCTGTCAAATTCAATTATGCACGTTAAATTAAAACATTTTATTTAAAAAAAAAACTTTAGTTTACGAACATATACACTTTAACAGGTGTCTTTACTATGTAGTTGTTACAGCTTATTAAAAATTTACGTTCATTAGAAGAAACACTTTGTACTCGTATACACATTGATTTTGCTAAAAACTTTGATATTGATACATACTGTTCTCGATGCGCCTAAATATTTACTCAAAGTAAAACATGCACACTCGCTTACGTATTCTCTGTGTTGCTATGTTGCAGAGTTTACCTCCTTTTTATGCCTTTTGTCTCAATTATTCAAAATGAACCTCTTGTATATGACTTCTTGTCTGGTATCTACACTCAAAAGGTCCTTACTACCATGAAAAATGGCTTTTGATTTTTTTTAGCTTTATCTTAGCAACGGCACAAATTTAACAAAGAAAAACGTTACTTTGACTCCTTCTTAATTGTTATTAATAATTATTTTGTATTATGCAATATTTTTCATGATTAGTATGTTTCCATGTCACAGCTAAATGTCGAATCTGCAGTAAATTTTGATTTTTTTTTTTTTTGGCGATCATTACTCGATAAAATTTGTATATATATGATTAATATGTTATCATTTGAAATTTGGCTCCATTCTGGCAAGGTATGAAAAATGGTGAATATGTTGGTTTTTTTTTTTCTCAAATTAGTTTTTGTATGTTCTTTTGACGAGTATCTTAATTCTATATGTAGTGTATATGTTAATAAAAGCTACAAAATTATACATAGCATAATGGTTTCTATATATTAGTCTTTAACAGGTTGGGACCAATCGCCCAAATGGGATATAATAGTCCGTTTTGGATATTATATCCCAAATGGGCTATAAATTTAAAGTGCAAAAATTAAAAATTTTTATTTTGGCTATAAATATCATAAATCCGCATCAGGACACTTAAAAAGGAATAACTTTTGGTTGACAAGTTTTCCTCTATGTCATTTGTTTAGGAGATCGATCCCTCGGAAGTTCCTTAACTTCTTGGGGATCAATCTAACAAACGGTAGGGTTGCAGAAAAACTTGCTTACCAAAAGTTATTCCTTTTTAAGTGTTTTGAAACTTGAGCCTCACATACTTTTACTCGAAGAATATTTTCCGTTGTGATATTGTTAGGAATATTTACATATGGCTTAATTTATATTTTTAGAACAAGTTTCACACCTTCCTTCAACAAACTTTGCCAAAAAATGAAGATATTTTAAATAAATCAAGATAAATTTATACCATTTTTCGCCTGAAAATCACATATTTTGACCAATATTTCAAAATTAACATCACTGACACCAACTTTTTCTTTCATCATTTTAAAGTACTCGATACTTGTGACTGATCAGCACTTAATTAAGTCATAAAAAAGATTGATTTAAAAAAATGTTTCATTGCCTATTTAGTTTTTTAATACCCCAAATATGTAATTTTTTAGTGCAAAAAGGTCACACAATAATTTACACGCATTTAAAATTTGCAAGATTTGTTCAATGACAAATATAACTCAAATTATTTTAAGTAAAATAAAATTGTATTTATTGTGATGGTTACATCTGATAAAATATTATAAAGGCTAAAGTAATTCACCAAAGAGTTAAAGTTTAAGTGCAAAAAGGTCAAATTAATTGTACCATAGATTAGTAAATTGCAAACTGACCCCCTATTTTCTCTGCAATTTTGAGTCACACTATATGAGAACTTATCCAAAATATGCTTATCAAAAAATTCTGATTTAAAAAATTTCACGAGTGACATACCTTAACGTCATTTAGTCGGTTTCATATTAAACGGATGACTCAAGTAACTTAAAACTTGTTTTGCTTCGGGAAAAATTTATTATGTAGATTTATTCTTCAAAGACCTGGTCATGTATTGCTTATCACAACTTTAAGTATTCTTAAAATCTTTTTTGTAATAAAAAGTAGTTTAAATGCAATTATTATACATAAGTTGCTAATATCTTTAGCTCACTCGAGCTGAAGGCTCAAGTGAATTTTCCTAATCGAAGTTTATCCGGCGTCTTTCTCTCATCTGTAAACTTTCCTTATTTTTGACGTCCTCTGCACAACCATATGGCCATTTTCAATCTCTCTAAATTTAAACACTTCATTACAACCAGTAGATTCACCGGCGGTGCAAGGGTGCAAAGTTTCACATAGGGATATTTAAAAACTAAACAAAGCAAAAAACAACAAAGCCATTTTTAGTCTTATTTATAAAAAATACTATACATTTATTGACTAAGTTCGAGGGCAACATGCGTTTTGTTGGACCCAAGAACCAAACTGTTTGCCTGAGGCCGTTATGCCGAAGGCAGACAGTTTGGTTCGAGGGTCGACAAAACGCATTTTGCCCCAGCATTCAGTCAATAAATTCATTTTATTTCATTTTTTGACATATACATGTTTGTTTTTGTACTATCTTCCATGATGTAACATCAGGTCCGTCACTGTTGGACACCAACGAATGAAAATGAGATGAAGCTCCACCCATTCTGTGACGAAAGCAGTCCAACATCTCACCGACCGGTCCAAAATCTCACTCAGCGGTCAAACATCGATTTTTTTATGCCCGCTCAGCAAAACATTTGAAATGTTAGATTTTTTCATATAGATTTGCAAAGGAACAAATTTTTAGAGGTATAACAATATATATAGCATATCAAATATTGTTGTTATCGTGTCCCTAATCTAAATAAATCAGACTTCTTAAATCTGCGCTGTATGCACTCTGCACGGATTGATTAGATTGATCATAACCCCCTATGGTAAGGTGGGGCCATAAGAAGTTATCAAGTTTTACAAAAGAAAATGCAGGGGAAAATTGCTGATGAAGAACAGAAGAACCATAATTACTCAGGTGAGCGTTGTGGTTTAGGGGTCTAGAGAAATTCTCTAGATCTCAGATATGCGTGCCATTACTTCCATCTTTTTTGACATGATAAATTTACTCTTTGTGAGGTCTTCAGTCGAAAGAAGAGAGACGTTTGTACTTCAAATCATGTCGACAGATCCTAAATTCGTGCCAGTTTGCACATCTAGTATTTACTTTATTGAGGATAAATCATGTGCAATCGATTTCTTACTGGCATTATCATTACGTAAGTGCTCATTAATTCTAACCAAAATTCCTTAAGAGCCTTACATTGAAATGATTTACAATATGCTTTTGCAAAATCCCTTTAAAAGAAGAAACGATATCTATCCGTATTTATATTCAACTACGGTTACCTTTTCCTTCACGTTTTTACAATAAAATAAAACATGCAATGCATACTTTAGATATTGAACGTCTAAAAGAAAATCCTTTTAAATTTTCTTCCTCTGTAGTCTAGCTGGATACAACAGTACTGGAGGTGTCAATATAATTGAAAACTAGAGGTACTGTGAGCAGTGAAGTAACTAAATGACATCCCTCACCTCCCATATGGTTATAACTGATGACAAAGTCCATGTTTTGCTGTGGCCGGGAAACCCAAAATATGTGTCGGATCAAAAAAAGTAGAATAGGAGATGCACAATGACAATATGTAATAAAGATTCTGTTAAAGTTTCATTAAATTTCACTCAGTGGAATAAGAGGACTTGCGGATAAGAGATGGGTACTCTAAAGCGTAACAGAAGGACGGACGGACGGACGGACGGACGTCTTTTACGCTGTTAAATTTAAATTTCACCAGAATTGAAGAAATCTGAAAAAAATTCCAATAAAAGCACCCCTTTAGGGCTTTGGGACCAGCAAATAAGGGACCAGATTCGGCTAATTCTATACCTAACTTTACTATAACCCCCCCCCCCCCCTTGAAAAGCGGAAGGTATATAGTGATAGGTATGTCCGTCTGTCTGTCTGTACGTCCGTCCGTCCGTCTGTCCTTTACGCTGTTAAATTTAAATTTCACCAGAATTGAAGAAATTTGAAGAAAAAAATTCCAATATAGGCACCCCTTAAGGGCTTTGGTTTTTATAGCAAATAAGGGACCAGATTCGGCTAATTCTATACCTAGCCTTGTCCCTTAAAAGGAAAGATCAGACACTTAATTTGCCATTTCGAATAAAACATTTTACAAAAATACTGAAAATCCTATGAGAAAGTTCAAGGCAATGTGAAAATATATCTCCTTAAGTGTAACTAAACCTTAGGTAATAAAGGAACCGGACAGACGACATATCTCAACGATTTGTTATGGTTCTAGCAGAGAAATCTTGTACCAGATTTTCTTTTTTTAAAGGATCATTACTATAAAGTATTTTAGAAGATTTTGGTTTTAAAGTTACGTATGAAAATCCGACTTTACGTATACTCCAAACTCACTTTCTTTGGATGATTTTTTTTTCAAATCCACAATTTAGTTCTTAGTTTCAATATTAAGTCAGCTAAGATGCTTTGATAACCCTACATAAAAAGGGGTCCTACACTTTATTTTAAGAAATCTGTAAAAGATTTATTGCATAGTCCAGTACGTTTTCAATAAAGCCCAT